TGGTCTAGCCCCTCAAACTGCCACGCCTCCCTCTACTCCTCTGGCAACTTATGACTCTGGGACCCAAGGTTTTGACTGCCAGCAGGTACTGATGTTCCAGTCAGTGCTGCAGAGGCTACTCCTGAGTCTTCAGATCCAGGGGAGACACTATAATCCAATTACCCCCACACTGAATTTCAGGATCGGTCACCCTGGCTCCTGGGAATCCTGAATCACTAGGAGACCCACTGCCCTGGACCCCTTGGAGCTCCGATTAGGGGGAGTGGGGGATGTCACACTATCACCAAATCTCAGCCCCATTTTCCCACTTAGTTTAACTGGATACAGCCCTGCCCTAGACTGCCTATAGTATATTCAGACATGGTCCCTCATGTAGATGGACAAAGTGAAGCCTAGAAGGGGTAAAGGCCTCACCACGCAGCCAGACCCTGCTGAATCTACTTTCATCCTAGGCTGAGCACGCCCACCAACCACCTGAGCGAGCCCTCCTGGGTTGCCACCATCAAGTTAGCCGGCTCCCTGGTAGCCGGGCTGGAGCACTTCGACTTGCAGGCCACCCATTCCAACTGAGTGTAGTCTGTTCAATGGCTTCTACCTTCCCCTCCTTGACAATAAAATAACCAACATCCAGATGCCTAGCTGCCTGTTCAAGTCACCTGCTAAGGGTTGAAGGAGTGGGGTGGGGCATGGCAGAAGTCTCCATGCAGGCACCACATCCTAGAAACAGGTTGGACCCAGAGCAATAGTAATGGAAGTTCCATTCATCCACCATCCAGACTGATGGGGCCCAGTGAGATGGTCTCATTCCCCATAATACCATCAGCTCCATTTCTGAGCTGATCTCGTGCCAAACTCAAGGGTTCAGCATAAATCACTCTGGAAAGCAGGAGTGGTCATTCCCATTTTACAGCTGGGGAAACTGACTCTGGAAGGCTTGAAAATGCCACATATGGCCCGGCTAGATTTGGACTCAGCCTTAAACACCTCAAGAATTACAAGGCAGGAAACATAGGCTGGGGGTATAGGAGTTCGTAAGTCCCAGCACTAGCTCAGGAAAGTCAGAAACCAAGACAAGCCCATGCCAGGGCCCATGCCTTTTGTTTCAAGGTCTCAAAGTGGTATCCCACACAAGGGTTCCATTTCACATATTATTGAAAAAACTGGTTTAATTCATTGCAAACTTTTTTTTTTAATTGGGATACTTCATCCCCTTCACTAAAAAAAACTGGTACCTTAGACTGGCCCTCCTGTGTCCACAGCCAGGTGTAACAGTTCCTCTACCCAAGGCCTGTGCTCCTCCCGGCCACACTGCCACAAGGACCCTGCAGTGGGCATTTGTTTTGATACCTCTGCAAAGGCCACTGGACCAAGACCGACCCTGAGGGTCCTCAAACTTCCAAGTTTTTCAAGGACAAGGACTTGACTCCTCACCATTCCACCTAGGGAGACAAGGACTTAGGAGAGAGAATGTCCATCTTTATTAGAGGAAACCCGCACTGCAACTGCTTTCAATAATGTAAGCTCTGCCCCACTCAGTTCCTGCTGGGCTCAGACGATCATTTCCAGCTGCCGGGCATACTCGATGACCTGTTTGGCCAGCTCCGTGGAGGGGATGGTGGTATCTTCTGGTTTCTGCTGCTGGCTGGCAAAGCTGTAGTAGTTGTTGAGGCCCAGGACCCACCCTCGCTGCAGAAAGGGAGGGGTGAGAGATGGGTGGGGTGATCACATAGGCTCCCTCCCCACCCCATAGAGCCAGCACTTACCCATGTAGGCCCTGGCTTGCTTTACTAGTCATAATTTACCCGCACAACTCTAGGCAAGTAACTTCACCTCTCTGAGCCTCAGTTTCTCCATGGTTGAGACTAGGACCCTAATCACACTCCTCTTCAAGTCTGCTATGAGAATTCAATCAACACTTGTAAAGTGCTAAGAATAGTGTTTGGCCCACTAAATATCAACCGCTACCATCACTCAAGGTCAATTTCACCTCTTCTAGCCAGGGTCACTGCACCCCATGCACCAGCATGTCCAGGGGCACTGCTCCTGCACAAATACCCCAAACCAAATGAAGCAAAGTTGTGTGGGGAAAAGCGACAACCTCCAAGGAATTCTGTTAAGGACAACAGCCAACATGTACTGAGTTTTCACCTCCACCTCGTGCCAGATGCTATGCTAAGCTCATCCCACATGTTAAATTCTAGCCTCATTCTACAGATAGGGAAACTGAAGTTCAGAGAAGTTTGGTGACTTGCCTGAGGATATACACCTGGATTTTTAAACCTGGGCAGTCTTGCTCCAAGTCCCTCCAGGCCACCCTCATAGCTATTAGTAAGTGCACCCCTTGGCCCCATGACCCCTTGCACCCCAGCCACCTTTTTGGCATAGTCTGTCATCTTTTTGGGTGTGTTGAAGAAGAGGATCCGGGTGGCCTCAGTAAAGAGGATTTTCTCGTAGGCCTTCTCGATGCATCCAGCAATCTCATCTCTGGGGGAAGATGAAGTTCTCACTATTGAATACAGACAGCACTCCAGGCTCTGTCCTCCCTGATCTGACATGAGTAAGTTCTGACCCTTCAATTCAGTACCAACTACTGGAATATGTTTGTTACCTGTCCTGTTTAACCAATGGAGGCTTAGGGAGAGAGGGAGAAGCTTGACCAGCTTGCAAAGCCAGGGCCACACTCAGGTCTTTCTGACTTCCTGGCCCAAACTCTGAATTCCACTCCCAGACACAAGGACTTCAGGCTATCTGAAAGCCAGCCTGGGATTCCCACGTAGGGGGTCTTTTCACATAACACCACCCCCTTACAAGGGTGCTGAACTCCATTTCTAGATCCAATCCTGAGGGGGTTCCTTGTACCCTTGCCAAGAGGTATCATGATAAACACTGAGTAGAAAAACTGCAAGGCATGGAGTCACTGAAACAGAAGGGGTTAGCTTGGGGGGAGTTGGGTGGGGATGACAGGGAGGGTGCATCTGTTCTGAAGTATTTTATTTCTTAGGCCAAGCAGTATATGGACACTCACTTTTCACTCCTTTAATTTTGGAGTCAAAATATTTCATAATTAAAAATAACCCAAATCCACAAAACTGCCATCCTCACTCCCACCACCTGTCTGGGCTTGGGAGGAATGGAAACCCATCTCAATCTGATACTCTGCCACCACCTGGACACTCTTTTACTTCTCAAAGGACTTGTAAATGTCATGCCCAACTTCCTCTGTGATGTCACTTGTGCACAGAGCAACCCCCAAAGGGTTAGTGGGATTTGAAGGCCCCATTTTAAAGAAGTGGAAACTAAAGGCTTCACAGTTTAGGTGATCTGAGGCGAGGTCGCAGGACTCATGAAACACCTCTAAGAAAGGCAGCATGGTCCCTGGTTGCTGAGCACTGTCTAGTTGCTAAATCAATGCTCTGGGTCTGGAATGTATAGGCACACTGGTAAACAGCCCAGAGCGAGATGAAGACTGTTTTCCACAATCTCATGACCAGTTCCAGTGCATAGAAAAAGAAAACTGATGTGCCCAGTCTCCCCAGATCACAAGTGGCCAGAATGGGATTCAGTTAAGGGCTGCCTGACTCCAGATTCCAAGCTCTTTCTGAACACCACAGAGGCCCTGGTTCCCCATGAACCTGATAGTGTCAAGCAGGATGTCGATGAAGAAGGTATAACTCTCAGCAGGGATGTTGCCTTTGGCCAGGAACACCTTGTTGTAGCTGCCCTCCATTAGGTACTGTGGAGACCGAGGGAAGATGAGAAGATGAGGTAGAGACAGCATAGTGGCCTACCCTCTGAGGCTTCACCATACTCCTAGTGCTACCATAAGCCCCACTCTGCTGGAACACCCATTCCCCATGCAGAATGGGCACCTGCTCTACCAGAAAGGCCTCTCTGGTTTACTTACACACACACACACACACACACACACACACACACACACACGCACACGCGCGCGCGCGCACACACACACACACACACACACCCAGCCTGCCCTGCGCTGATATGTACCGCAAGCCTATTCCTCCTTTGCCCAAGCTGTGCCGCCTGCCTTAACTGTCCTCTCTCCCAGCCTCTCCCCACAGCCAAATCCTCCCATGAGACCTCAGCTCTAGGAATTACTTCCTAACCCTGGGTACTAAGGCTCTTCTCTCACCCTGCTGACCTTGTTCTCGAAACACTGTCTTCTTTGCTACCCCTCAGCCAGGCGACCAGGCATGTTTCTGCCTTGGGACCTTTGGCAGAAGGTCCAGGCTACCTGGACCACTGTTCCCCTAGATGTCCACATAATTGGGTTCTTTACTCCTCTCAAGTCTTTTTTTCAAATTTCACCTTTTCAGCAAGACCTTCCCTGACCACCCTATGTCATGCTCCCAAGATCAGGGATTTTGTTTTGTTCACTGTACAGTCTGAAAACCAACCACAGTGCCTGGCACATGGCTGGTGCTCAATATTTGTTGGACAAATAAATAAATGAGTCTATGAACTGAAAGATGGGTGAACCCTATCCACTTCTCCAGGAAACCCTCCCTAATGTCTGTCCTTGCACCACCCTCCTTAGCCAGGCCCTTCCTTTCCCTTTCTCCAGACTCACCTGCTCAAGGGACACAGGATGCTTGATGTATACATTGGTCTGGATGTCCTTGGCAGGCAGCCGCTCCAACTCCGTGTGGAACTCAGCCACCCGGTTCTGAGACAGCAGGAAGAGGAGGTTAAGGCCCAAGAGCTGGTGCATGTACGCGGACTCAGGGAGCTGTTCCCTGTGAACCAGGTTGAGGGAACCAAGGTAAGAAGAACTTAGGTACCTACTGTGCCTCCACTCCAGACTTCAGGGACCCCTGATGACTGTCTTAGGCTGTCTCCTTGGAGAGGTATTGAGCCCTGGGTTTTCAGATGAAACTAATGTCCAGAGAGGTATGAAGAAGTCACAAATCATATGGGCCCAAGTGAGTGACCTCACTTCAGTAAAGTGACTCAGCCTCAATTTCCCCAACTGTAAAATGGGGTATCACCACAGCACTCATATCACAAGAGGAGGGTAAATGAAGAAGGGTTAAGTGAATTAAGTGATTTAACCTAGATTAAAGTGATTAGAACAGTACCTGGGCCCAAATAAGTACTGTACAAGTATTAGTTATGATTATGATATTAAGAATCATCACCTTTATTTTAAGGGGGGAAGTGAGCTTAGGGAGGTAAGGTCATTTGCCCCAGACCACATAATCGGATTGACAAAATCAGTTTCAAACTCCCGGTTGTCCTGACTTTTGATGTCAAATTCTAATCATTAATCCATGCAGGCACCACTGAGCTATAAAACCATTCAGTTTTATATTCACTGAATCATGCCCTGGGCCTGGCCCCATGCTAGGCAAAGTTGGGACACAGCAGTGACCAAGACCCCTCTGCCTTTAGGAGGCTCATAGTCCAGCAGGAGAGACAGGCCTGGGATAGGAGAAGCACAGGCGGAGGGGTCAGGGCTGGGATGGGGGCAGCTAGGAAGAGTGCTGACACTGCATTTGAGACCACAGGAAAGAACGAGGCCTGGAACCTGAGGGTTATGGAGAGCCATG